CAACTGCCGCAATGTAGGACCACTGCTATCGACGCCGTCGTGCCCAAGGGATGCTCCGGCCCCGTGCCCAGCAAAGGCTCTCCCAGTCCCTGGTGGTTGCAGCACCCAGGGCAGAGAGCAGCACACTGGTTTAGTGCTTTTTTTTTTGCTGCTCCCCCACCTCCTTTTTTTTGTTGTTGTTGTTTAATTTGCATTTGGGTCAGTGGCTACGCTGGACGTTGTGTGAATCGCTGCGTTCCCAGCCCGGCTGCGGCGCGGGAGCTTCGTGGCGTGGGGACTCGTCCCTGGGGAGCTGCGCTGGGACAAACACCCGTCCCGGCACCGACGGCGGTGAGAAGCGTTTGAGACTCGGGGTGGGAGGCGGTGTCGGGAGACGACAAAACTCGCGTGAATCAGCGCCAAGCACCGTTTCCAGCTGCTCTGGCCCAGCAAACTGGAATATTTGTGGGAAACGAACATAAAAGCGGCCGGATCGCAGGGCCTGAGCGATGCACACAGGGCTCCAGCTGCGGCTCTGGGAGTCGACCGTCCCAGCGCTGGGAGAGGAGAGCGCCCAAAGCAGCTCCCAGCCATTGCTCACACCCCCTGTAATTTTTTCATATTTCTACTATTTCCCACCTCTGCTTCGTCCACAGGTGGTTAAAAGAAATAACTCCCAAGCCCTCCAAAGTTTATTTTTCCCTGCTTGACTTTTAAGAACAGCCTTGACTCCATCAAAACCAGTTCCTCCCCTTCGCTCGCCCCGGAGCTCCCGCTGCTTCTGCTCTGCTCAGCCGTGCTGCGGGGCCAGCTCTGCTCCTGCAGCCGTTGGCAAGCCAAGAGCGGAGGAGGAGAGGAATCGAGCATCTTCTACGCAGCTGGAAACCCTTCCCATGGCGCTGCCAGACGAGACCCACGAAGCTGCTGCACTGCTGTACAGCCCTGCTCCCAAGCCTTCCTCTTCCTCGATGGACGTGTCCCCCTCCACCCCCCCAAATCGGGGTGGCTTCACCAGGAGGGGACGGTGCCAGGTTTGTGCCCATCCCTGCCAAGGGCAGGGGACTGAAAGCAGCAGTGATGCCGCACAGCAAAGTGTCCAGTTCTGGGTGATGCTCCAGCCATGCCCACATCAGCCTGAGGAGCACCCCCTTACTCAGGGGGAGCACAGGATGGGCTGTTGATTTAGAAACCCCTTGGGAAGCGGCTCCCTGCCCCAGAGCAGCCGTGTTTGGAGCGGATCATGAGTGGCCAAGTGATTTATGGGGTGTAAGCGCCAGCTCCCATGGTGTTCCGCTGGTGGGAAGAGGAAGCGAGTGGGAGAAGGGCTCCAGCATCAGCATCTGCAACACCTCGCAGTGAAAAGCGAGCTGTGCTTCCTCCCA